TGATATGTTCAAAAGTGAATTGGGTTTGGGCCTCCTCTAGAATTCAAGGTGCTAGCCCAGCAAGTTTTCTACCATGATTGGCTTATAAGTATACACAGATTGGACCACAGGACCAAGATGTAAACTTTCTAGCCAATTTGGTCTACACAAACTTGGTCCGATGCATTTCAAAGTTTGCCCCCTTTCTTCTTAACTTTCCAAATGCCCCCGCTGGAGCAAAGGGGAAGAGTTGGGCTTGGATCCACCAGCAGAATTTACCAACGCAACCGCTCACTCCTCAACAATAATACCATCGATAGTCATCTTATATCCGTAACCGCTGCTTGAGTAAGAGATGCTCGTCCTCGAAAACGGATTGTGTGACCACCTTTCTCACCAGCAAATCTTCAATATACATTGTAAAATTAAGGTGGAAACTAACAGAATCTTGCAATTTAAATCAATGTGAAATCACCAGAGAAATAAATAAGGGACAATAAGGACACGAGAGATTACGTGGTTCGGTCCGGTGTCAATACCTACTCCACGGATAGCAGTAGATAATCAACTATAGTCGGAGAATCAGAGTTATAATCGCTCATACCCTCGAGTATTTTTCATACCTAGATTAGGTCCAAATTCACGGTATTTACAAATAAACAACTCCATTAGATATAACGCTCAAAAACACAAATCATCGCAAGAAGTGTCTCGGTACACTAGAAGTGTCTCTATACACTTCTTTTCTTTATCTTTTATGCTGCGCTTTGCACTTCGTGCGGTTTCTACAAGGAAAAACTACTGTAGGGCTTTGAAACAAAAGAACATAAATTATAGGGTTAACACCACGAAAAACTTAAAACTGGTACATTTGTGACCCCGAACTAATTTTTTGATAACAAAAAACCTAAAATTGGTACACTTATGAAAAATTTACCCCGAATTAATTTTTTGACCATCAAAAACCCCACATTGGTACACTTGTGACAATTTTACCCCGAACTAATTTTTTGACCACCAAAAATCCCAAACTAGTACACATGTGACAATTTATCCCAAACTAATTTTTTTACTACTAAAAATCCCAAAATGGTACATTTGTGATAAATTTACCCTTCGCTATATTCGTTAAATTAGATTAATATCACGAAAAATCACAAATTGATAAATTTGTGACAAATAGAGGGGTAAAATCTCAAATTAGTACACCTGTCAACTACCACGTGTCATCAAACTTAGCAATTTGACAGTAAAATTTAACGGAAACTAACAGAGGATAAATTTATCACAGGTGTACCAGTTTAGGGTTTTCAGTGGTAAAAAAAATAGTTCGAGATAAAATTATTACATGTGTACCCGTGTGTAATTTTTTATGGTCAGAAAAATAGTTCGGGATAAAATTGTCATGGTAGTACCAGTTTGGGGTTTTTTGTTATCAAAAAAATAGTTTGGGGTAAATTTATCACAAATGTACCAGTTTGGGGTTTTTTGTGGTATTAACCCTATAATACCTAAATTATATGGCCTTTTCGTGATCAAACCCTTGTGCCCTTAAGAGACCAGTCAACAACTTTCCTAATTAAACCCACTTCTTTTCTTATCGACTTGCTGAACTCCTCAAACTAATATATATTAAATAAAGAATGTGAGCCCCAACAACAGAAGTTGACCGATCAAAGTAAATAAGAAGAAATGTGCTGCTCAACTCCTCGAAGTACCGACTCTCTCATCATGAAGAGCTCTCCTCTGCCCTTTGGTGGTAGGTCTCCTAAACCCTAATCCCTGTATCCCACAACGCCAATCAGCCCCTTCTGAATCCTTGATTCGGTCGCTCCTCTCCACATTATTGGCTCCTTCACAACAAAGAGAGTGGAAATCTGTTGAATCCCTACAACCCACAAACCCTAATCGTTTCATAAAGCCCAAAACCCAGTAATGATGCCTGAACCACTCTTCCTGCCCCTAACCTCTGAAGCACTACCAGTGAGGGTAAGGTGAAGGTGTTTTATGGTCGGTGTCTCGTCCAACAAATTTCTCGGTTGAAGTCCACATCGGAATGCTATGCAGTTCTCCTGATCACTCTGTGTTGGGTCTTTCATACTTGAATCGAGTACATCTAGTCTCGGGTAAGTCTTTCTGTATGCTCTGTTTTTGCTTTGGAAAGTGATCATGGAGAGGGAGGAGGAATCAGAAAGTCGAATGGCAGTACTCAGCAAACGATTAGGCAGGCTTTGGTCAAGAACAGAAGTTACTGCAATGGATGAGGCAGTTCCTACAAGCAAAATCAGAGAAGGTAGACTTACCCTCGTTGGCAAGCTATTTCAAAACCCAAAGATAAACTTTCTAGCATTCCAAAGCACAATGAGGAGAGCATGGAGACTTGAGAATGTAACCTTCTCCCCTTTGGAATTTGGAATTTATGCCATTACCTTCATGACTGAGAAAGAACTTCTGAGGGTGTTTGAAACTGGTCCTTGGTCCTTCTCGAGCCATCTATTGATTCTCAAAAAATGGGAACCAGATATGCCTCCACACCGATATGAGTTTGATACATGTCCTTTTTGGGTGCAAATCCACGGACTTCCTTTTGAATGGCTTACAGAAGAAGTCGTTCTAAGAGCTGTCAAAAGTCTGGGTCTGGTTATGGATGTGAAGGTAGATGCGAAGGGTGTCGCAGCTAACAAAATTGGGAAGGCGAAAGTCCTCTTAGATGTGAAAACCCCTTTAAAATCTGGATTTATTGCTAGCAAGGGAGGGAAAAAGCTCTGGTTGGATTATAAGTTTGAGAGGCTCCCTAATTTCTGCTACTCTTGCGGTAGATTAGGGCACAACGCAAATTACTGTGAAGAAGTCGAATTCAAAGAAGGGAAATCTGAAGCTGAGGATGAGTGTCTCTATGGCCAGTGGCTTAAAGCCGAAGTACAGGGTCACAGTCCTTTTATGAAGCTCTTTTATGGGAAGTTAAAGGAGGAGGATATAGAGGAGGAAATTATCTCTGAGACCCCAATACTTTCCCTCCAGATTGTGCCTTTTCAGGGTGAAGCCCTGCAACCTCTCTCTCAGCCCAACCATATTCAAGTAGAAAAGGGAAAGAACATAATGTTTGGGGATACAAGTATGCAGTCGCAGCAACAAGCCAAGAGGGGTGAGGACTTTATTCCAAACAATCTGCCGTTTCCAGGTCAGAGCAGTGGCTCCACCTCCCCTGATGTACAAATGCTCCCAGAAGTTGCTCAGAACAAGAAGCTTAAAGAGACGAAGAAAGCTGCTGCTAAGAAGAAACGCAGGTACAGCCCCTATGAAGCACAAATGGCAAACTCGCAGCTGCTAGATGAAACTCAATTGCTGGATACACCTATTCAAGTGGTGTCAGGAACAATGGAATGGGCTTTGGTGGCTAGCCCTAATAAGTCACCGGGTTACATATGAATATTATATGCTTGGAATTGTCAGGGGTTGGGCAATCCCTTGACAATTCAAGCAATCAGAGCCCTTGTGGCTCAAGAAAAGCCCAGTATACTATTTTTGATGGAGACCAAAAATCAAGAACAAGTAGTACTTCGACTCAGAAGGCAGCTACGGTTCCAGAACAGTTTTTTGGAAAATCCGAGGGGTATTGCCAGGGGTATGGCTATTTTTTGGGATGACAGGGTATCTTTAACAGTGGAATCAAACTCTGAATTCTTTATAGATTTGGTGTGCGTATTAGAGGAAACAAAACATCGAATGCGACTGACCTTTATACATGCACCAAATGAGTTCCAGAGAAGGCTAGTTCTTTGGGAAGATTTGTACAACATTAGCCAATTGAATGATCTACCATGGGTCTGCATAGGAGACTTCAATGAAATCCTTTATCACTGGGAAAAAGTAGGGAAGCGCATGGCGGAACATTATCGACTCAATTCTTTCCGAGACTTTATCAATGCTTGTTCTTTAATGGACTTGGAAAGTAAGGGATGTGCTTTCACTTGGACAAATAATAGGGATGGAGAAAATCATGTCAAGGAGAGATTGGACAGGGTATTGTGCACTATGGACTGGCGAATTTGCTTTCCACACGCTGAAGCATATGCATTGCCGGCAATAGGGTCAGACCATAGTCCTATTTTGTTATCTCTCTTTCCCGAGTTAGTGAAAAGGAAAAAAGACTTTAAATTTGAGGCTTTTTGGCTGGAAGATGAGGAATGTGGAAACATCATTAAAAAAGTCTGGCACTCGGAAGAATTGATGAATGAAGATCTGCTGAAGAGGCTGAAAGTAGTATCATTGGCTCTATCTAAATGGAGCAACACAAAGTTCTCCAATGGAAAGAAGAAAATAGACCTTTTAAAGAGAGAGCTTCAGGACATCTCCAACAACCGACACTTGCATTGGGAAAGAGAGAGGGTGCAGTTTCTGAAAAATGAAATCGAGAAGATGTGGAGACAAGAGGAGATGTACTGGGGTATGAGATCGAGAGTAAACTGGCTCAAATGGGGAGACAAAAACACTAAATTTTTTCACGCCACAACAATTCAGAGGAGACAGAGGAACAAAATCTCCATGTTAAAAAATGAAGAAGGGGAATGGGTTCATGATATAACTCAACTAAAGCAGCACACATCTCAATTCTTCAGCAACCTTTTTCAAACAGTCGGCCCTCGAAATTTCCAGCCAACACTAGAGGACTATCCTTGTCTAGTCGGGGAGGACATGAACCAGATGTTGACAAAGCCAGTGACACTAGAAGAAGTAACTGAAGCAGTCTACCAGTTGGGATCTACAAAAGCCCCAGGACCCGATGGTTTAAATGGCCAGTTTTTTCAGCATAACTGGAAAGAGCTACAACAAGCAGTTTTCAGGGAGGTACAAAACTTTTTTCGCTCAGGGTATCTCAACTCAGAGCTGAACAGAACATATATATCCCTCGTTCCAAAGATCCCAAACCCAGAAAAACTGGAACAATTTCGCCCCATAAGCTTGTGTAACTTTGCGTACAAGATTATATCAAAAGTCTTGGCAAACCGATTGAAAATATGCTTGCCAAACTTAATTTCTATTGAGCAAAGTGCCTTCGTGAGTGGAAGACAAATTCAGGATAACATCTTAATTGTCCAAGAGGTGCTACATCAGTTGAGAATCAGAAAGAGAAAAACAAAGTTTCAAGCAGTGCTTAAACTTGATATGCAAAAAGCTTATGACAGAGTTGAATGGGATTTTTTGGAAGCTTGCATGGGGAAGATGGGTTTTAGTGATCAATGGGTGAAGTGGATTATGCAATGTGTCTCTACTGTGTCCTTTAGTGTCAAGCTAAATGGAGAGCCTCTACCCTACTTTCAACCAACAAGAGGAATTAGACAAGGTGATCCCCTCTCCCCCTATTTGTTCATCTTGGTGGGTAATGTATTATCTTTTTTGATGAAAAAGGCAATGGAGGATGGAAGTATAATGGGGATCAAGCTGAATAGATTCTGCCCCACGCTATCTCACCTCTTGTTTGCAGACGACTCAATCTTTTTCCTCGATGGAACGATTATGGAATGCCAGAATGTTGCAGCTGTTTTGAATCAATACTGTTTTGCGTCTGGGCAATCAATAAACTTAAACAAATCAGGGGTATATTTCAGCAAGGATTGTCCACTGAGTTTGAGACAGAATATGTCATATGAGCTTAGAGTTCCAGAATTAGAGAAGACGGGGAAGTACCTAGGGATCCCTTCAGACTGGGGGGCATCAAAAAAACATATGTTTGCCTGGATACTAGCAAGAGTAAACACGAAACTAGCAGGTTGGAAAGAAAATCTGATGTCAAAAGCCGGAAAAGAAATACTCATCAAAGCAGTGGTGCAAGCATTACCCCAATATGCTATGTCTATCTTTAAAATCCCCGTCTCCATTTGCAGGGCAATTGAAAAGAAAATTGCGTCTTTTTGGTGGAAAAATGGTGAAACACAAGCTGGACTACATTGGAGGAAATGGGATGTTCTGAAACGAAGAAAGGATAGTGGAGGACTTGGATTCAGGGATCTCATGACTTTTAATGGGGCTATGTTGGGAAAACAAGCATGGCGAATTACCCAAAACCCTTCCTCATTATGGTCTCAAGTATTGAAAGGGCTGTATTTCCCTAATTGTGATTTCTGGCATGCAGGGAAAGGGTCTCGTCCATCATGGGGGTGGCTTAGTGTTCTGATGGGCAGAGCATCTATCCATCCTTCCATTATGTGGTTTGTGGGCAATGGGGAACATATTAACATTAGAGAAGACAAATGGCTTCACAGGGGAGTTATTGGGGGTCCACCTAATCGTGAGGAGCCTAAGAGGGTAGCTGAGTTAATTTTGCAGGAAGAGTCGAAGTGGAATGAATCGAAGCTACAAGCAGCTTTTTGATGAACAGTTGTCGATGAAATTCTTGCAATCCCACCGAGGTCACATGACATCAAGACAAACCGGTTTGGTTAAATACCAAATCGGGATCCTATACAAATCAAGAGTGGCTATAATAGAAACAAAGACCTTGCAATGAAACCAAACCCAAATCAGGCTTCTTCTTCATATCAAACCCCCGAAGCATTGTGGACAAAAATTTGGAAGGCAAACACAGAACCGAAGATCAGATTTTTCCTATGGGCGATATGTCAAAATGCATTACCAACAAAGGTAAATCTATTCAGAAGAAGTATTGTACCAGAACCGATGTGTGAGCTATGTCACCAACATCCCGAAACTATTGAGCATCTTTTTCTCCTCTGTCCATGGACGAAACAAGTCTGGTCCAATCCTTCACTGCAAATCAAGTTTCCCAATCAAGGTCTCCCAAGAATTGAAGAATGGCTCTGGAATTTTAGCGTCACAACTATACCTTTTGAGCTACTTGCGACTGTCCTTTGGCTTATTTGGAAATCAAGGAACAATTTCATATTCCGAAGACTGAAACCAAACCCAAATCAGTTGGTGAATTCAGCTCAGTTGAAGCAAAATGAAGCACGAGGAAGCAATTTCGGAAAAGGAAAAGCTGTTGAAGGCCAACACTTACCTCAAATTTGGCGAAATCCGCAACAAGGAGTCCTGAAGATCAATATTGATGCTTCCTTTACTGAAGGTTCAACGTCAGGGGCAGTAGCTGCTGTTATGCGAGATAGCTATGGAAGAATGGTAGATGGTTTTGCAAAAACAGTGAGGGCCGACTCTGCAGCTCGAGCCGAGGTCAGTGCTCTTCTAGAAACGCTAGTCTTCTTCTCTGATCGGGCAAAGGATTGCCTTCTACTAGAGTCGGATAATTTAGACTTGGTTAAAGCTATCACATGTGTAGATTATTTCAAGTGGGATATACATGTGCTTATTTTGAAAGCCAAAGATCTGTTGGAAAATTTTACTGATATTAAGTTGGCATTTTGTAATAGAGAGTCCAACAAAGTGGCAGACTGGATAGCGAAGGCTCAAAGAAAAAATGTTCTGCCACAGAATTGGAAACTCTACCCCCCTCCCGATCTTTGGAATCTTCTTTGTGTCGATGCTTTGCCGTTGTACTCACAAGCTAAGTCGTGAGAATTGTATGAATATGGTTCTTCTGATAAAAAAAAAAAAGTAAATAAGAAAACTTCCTTGTGTGATTTCCACGAGGAATTTCAACCGAGAGTGATAGGAATTAATTTCCTACTTTTGCATATCAAATTCCATCAACCATAGGAACTTTGCTAGTTAACATCCAGTCGGATTTTGTTCACGGGCATAAACTCAAGATATAAATTTAACAATTTTTCCATTTTGGCTCAACATTTATTCATATTGTTCTCCCAACGCCCCAACAGGCGTTCACTCTTTACAAATGTCAATTGTGCTTGAGTTTTGCCAAAATAACAGGCTTGATCATCATGTCTGCTGGGTTCCCACTATAGCGCTTTTCTTCACAATGATCTTACCATTCGTCAAAACATCTTGGATGAAATGGTACATAATGTCGATACGCTTAGTTCGCTCATGATAAACTTGATTATATATTAGATATATCGCATCTTGATTATAACAGTGTATATTAAATTTTTTTTGCTTCAACCCAAAGTCTGAGGGTGAACTCCTTTAGCTATATCACCTCCTACGCTGTAACGATCAGTGCCATGTACTGTGTCTCAGTCAAAGACAAGGTTGTGATTCAGTAAAGACATTTGCCAAGTCACTGCACCACCTGTCATCATAAATACATACCATGCAAACACCTATACTCATCCAAGTAACCGGTGTGATCTGAATCCACATAACTAGTGGTCTCACTACCATTGTCATCTCTCAAGTACACTATACCAACATCTGTTGTCCATTTTAAATATCTCAGGATCCATTTTACAGCTTCCTAATGAGCTTTAGCATGACGATTCATGCAGCGGCTAACTATACTCGCAGCTTCCAAAATGTCGAGCCCAGTGCACATCATATCATACATAATACTACCCACTGCAATAGAATAGGAAACATGGGACACATGCTCCTCCTCCTCCCCAATTTATGGTGATAACTTATCAAAAAGTTTAAAGTGCTTCGTTAAAGGTGTACTCACAGTTACGCTAAGTACATATTAAAACGTTCAACAATCTTCTCGATATATTTCTTTTAAGATAGACGTAAAATTCCTGCGGTCCTATCACACAAAATCTCCATACCTAAAATTTTCTTTACAACAGCTAAATCTTTGATCTCAAACTTAGCACTCAACTACCTCTTCAGCATTTCCGTCCAAAACAAAAATCGCCTCTTCAGCACATCAATATCATACATTTTCTTAGCCGTTATTAGCATGTCATTAACATGTAATAACAGAAAAATCAAAGACCAATCTTCCATTCTCCTAAAGTAAGCAGAACTACCCATCTAACTTTTCGAATGATCCTAACTAGTCATCAAAGCATCAAAACGCTTATACCACTATCTATGAGACCGTTTCAGCCTATATAAAGTTTTTTTAAATAAGCAAACATGATCTTCCTTACTCGGAATAGAAAATCTCACCGGCTGCCTCATATATATAAGATTACTTCAATAAACAGATTGTATGACTACCTTTCTTACAAGCAAATATGCAATATAAGTTGTAAAATTAACACGAAACTGATAGGATCTTACAATTCAAATCAACACCGAATCACCAGAGAAATAAACGAGGAATAATAAGGACACTGGAAATTTACTTGGTTCGGTCCGAGTGTTGAAACCTATTCCATGGGGAGAGCTAGCAGCAAGAATCGGAGAATTAGAGTTACAATTACTCCTAGCCACGGGTGTTTACCACACCTAAATTAAACCTAAACAAGGGGTGCACGGCTTAATTTAGGTGTGTGCAAAGGAATCGGGAACCGCCTAGAATCAGATTGGACTGGTCCGGAACCGGCTGTTCCCAAGGGAACTAGTCCGATTCCCGGTTCCAATTTACTAGAATTGGTGATTACCGATCCGGTTCTAGGTTCTAGACGTGGAACCGCCCACCCGTTCACCCGGACCAGACCGGTAGTATATATAATTTTTAAGAAAAATTTCAAACAAAGAAAACAGAAATTTTTTTAATTAAAATGAAAACCTCAAATTCTCTAATTTAAAGCTCAATGCTCATCAACTGAATGCTCGTTTCGTCTCACTCTCACCTTGATTGAGTCGTCTCCGTATTTCTCACTCATGGTCTCGACTCTCAAGCTCAAACACCCATCGACTCACGGCCTCGACTCTCAACTCCCATCAACTCATGGCCACGCCTCCGGCCGTTCATCGCCTCCATCTCTCGCTCTCGATCACCTTCATTTGCGTGAGCTTGGTGGGACCGGTTCCATTAAACTAATGGGCGGTTCCCAATTTCAATTTTTCAGAATTGGTCCTTAGTAGATGATGTCGGTTTCATGATGAGAACCGCTCGTCCGGATCATGCTCCTCCTAATCCAACCTCGTGGAGTCTCTCTGTCCGCTTCATTTCTTTTTCTTTTGTGCGGCAATTTGCTGTTCGTGCGGTTTCCGCAGGAAAAACTACTGTAGGGCCTTGAAACTAAAGAACATAAAATATATGGCCTTTTCATGATCAAACCCTTGGGCCCTTAAAAGACCAGTCAACAACTTTCCTAATTAAACTCACTTTTCTTATACACTTGCTGAACTCCACAAATTAATATGCATTTAAAGAATGTGAGCCCCAAGAATGGAATTTAACCGATCAAAGTAATTAGGAAAACTTCCTTGTGTGATTTCCATGAGGAATTTCAACCGAGAGTGATAGGAATTTATTTCCTATTTTTACACATCAGATTCCATCAACCATTGGAACTTTTCTAATTAACATCCTGTTGGATTTTGTTCATGGACTCAAACTCAAGTAAATTTAACAATATAATCTAAATCTTACGGCATTCACACTTCAACTCTTTTTTAGCTCAGAACATTTTAAACTTTGGCAACATATGAATCTTGACTTGACACGTAAATTTAAATATAATTTTTTTTTCATTTGAATATAATTTTAAACTAATACTGATAAACGAGGGAAGTACTTCCTGTTTGAATTTAAGCGGAAACAAACGGACCCGAAATTCTTCGACTTTACTAGCATATAGTGCTTCTCGATGAGCCGAGCACACACCTTCAAATTTCTTATGAAATAAATCATATTCACATTTCATCTTTATCAAAAGATAACCTTTTCTATTTCATCTCTCCCATCTCATTTATTCAACGACCAGCCAACGCTCAAAGTCTCCAAAACTGAGTGCCTCATATCTTATGCATGTCATGCTAGTAAAAAGGAGAAACTTTGACTTGCCACATGGTCAAGATTTATGAAGAAACACATTGATTCGTTACGCATACAAGTACTACACCCATATTACATGGTCATCTTGGGCTTCAATTTCTCTAATCTCTCTACTCCAACACTAGTGTCCGTGTTCATTTCATTATCTTGTACACTCGCATCCAGCAAGCAACGTGAATGCAACCCTCTTGTTTTTTAGCAACTTTCGTTCTATCCCTTGGCAAGATTGGACTGAGAGGGCTCTTGCATATGTTAAACATGACATGACAAGGATGAAACTCCCACATGAATGTGCACTTTTTTAGTCAACCACCACTAGAGGCAAATCAACGGGCTGCTTACAAGGTACATGGTTCATGATTGTTTTGTATTGGGGCCAACACTATCTTGTGGCAATCATTGAATTGGTGAAATATGAACCAATATGTGCCACGCCCACTTCTTCAAATATTCTCTATTTCCGAACTTATCATGTGGCCAATCAATGTGTGGAAATTATACTTGAGACAGCATGCATCTTTCAATGGAGACATCTCCAATTGACATGTCCACATCCCACTATTTTCCACATTTATGATTCCCATGAAGATTGCGCATCCTATGAGCACTATCAGCTTTGCTTTCCATTTCACTGTTTTGGGGGTCAATTTCCCTTTACAATTACTAGAATTTTCAAAAACATGATAAACGACCCATCTTTTGGGTCTTCGTGCAATGAAAAACGAGCACAATTAGGATCGTTGGAATTATTAACTGGAGAAATATGAAAATCTCTTTAAAAGTCTGAGAGAAGATAATAGCATGTCGAAATTATTGAAGTCGTTTATATATAGATTTATATATATTTCCTTGTATGCATGATATGGCTTATCTTTGACCTAAATCGAATTAGAATTCTTCTTTGAGAAAAGCAAGTAAGAAATAGAAACACGAGAAAGCAACCAAAGAAGAAATAGCAAGAAATGGGTTTTGAATTCATGTCGACAACACCTTTATTCCTATAGATTGAATGGACGGCGCCATGTTAGACCACAGAAAAGTCAACATCGCATTTCATTTCCGATAACGGACGCAACGTACCTCCTTTTCCTTTCTTTTCTTTTCTTTTGGACTTTCCGAGGTGTCATGTCTTGACTCCCTAGAGAGAGCCTCGTATCAGAGATGGTGATGTTTTGCATCCGAGGCCACACACTCGTTTTCGTAGCTTACAATGCGACAAGAACAATGCGATACCAATGATCCCACCGTGGAAGGTACGATATATCTCTTTCGATTTGCTTGCTAGTGATGGAGCCCAGTAATTAAGCACAATAAATCCCGGTGATCCGTCGGTAAAACATAGGTGCGGAAGTTCTTCGATAGTTTTTAGATATTTCGCAGCTTGATTCTTGTTCGACGCGTTCTTATCTCTTACTC